ACGATCATAGTTGTCCGGTAGTATTTCATTTTCCTTTTTTTTTACTAATCTGAAATTTGGAGCGTGTGTACATCTTAGTGAGGCGCACCTAATAAACATATGAAAATAATAATAATTTGTAAAATATAAATTGACCAAAATACCCCCGAAAATTAACGGGGGGTATTTTGATCAATTTATATTTTACGAATTAATTTTTTATATTTTGATTAGGTGCGCCTCACTAAGATGTACACACGCTTAAAATTTCAGATAATTCCGATTAGTAAAAAAAACATGAAAATTGAAACACTACCGGACAACTGTGACCGTGCGATGAAATTTGGATGGTAATGAGGGTAGGCGAAATCACTGTTCATTTTTGCCTATAGGCGTTTTGTAGTATCTTCCATAAGTGTTTGATCCCAGAACTTATAATACTAATTATTTTCCACTTTTCCCAAATCACGTCTCTTGATACACACCCTCTATCAATCTCTTTTGTGAACCCAATGACAGGGATCAAATTTTAACTGAGATCAAGAGGTATTGGTGATTTCCTCCTCCCCTCCTGGTATTGTTGTAATTGCTTGAAGACACCGTGTTATTTTCAGTCGCTATAGGCCTTTGTCTTTCCCTTTACCAGATTCTCAACTTGTCTTGCGATTTTCTTCGGCTTTTGGTACATGTACCTTCATTTGCAAGGGATGCTGTCCCCCTTCCCACAAACATGACGTGGCTTTGCGGATACTGCTGCTAGCAGTTCTTCAAATCTGCTCCTTGAAATGACTTGGCCTCAATAAGGTTTAAGTATCAAGTGAGCTTTCATTTGGCCCTATCTAATTTCCCCATGTCATCAGTCTATACAATTCCTCACTTGTGTAGCAGTTCTGCAAAGTGCTATCAGAGTTCTTTAACAAAGGGTGAATGAGTCATATAAGGGACCTTTATCCATGTTCCGGGATTTGTCATTTATTTTCTTTTTATTTTAAAGATAAAACTGCATCAGAGATACTTTCTTGAAGATCGAGAATGCAGCCACAGATGGCCCGTAATGAATCCATTGTTATTAGTCAGATGCTAGCTGGTCACCTGTGCCTCTTGGTGCAAGTCTGTAATATACAGTTTCATACTTTTAGGTCATACCCAATGCCAAAATTTTTATAACCTTGAATTCTTTACTATAACTATTTACATATGAACTATAAAAGGGCTTTCAAATGAAACATGCACCCAATCACAAGTACTGTTGTTATGGAGACAATGTACGAAAACATCAGTAATAAATCATTTACTTAGGCTTGTTTGTGTACTGTCTACATGTGATGTCCTGGTTGAGGTACTCCAAATGCTGTTGTAGACGAAGCGTCTACCATTCTTGGAGGACTATCGACAGAAGTTTGTGGACCCCCTCTGTTTATTGCGGGTGACTCAATACAAGTTGTTTGTGTGTAGATTGATGAAACATGGAAGCCCCTTGAACTTCAACAGGAAGGCTGTTGACTCTTCAGCTGAATGAGTATTTTTTGGACACCTTGCCAAAAGTGAATTCCATCAAAGTTTTGGATCATTGATTTATTCATGAGTGTGTGTTTTGTGGGTCACAGACAGAGAGAGAGAGAGAGAGAGAGAGAGAGATGCAAGCAATGTAGTTTGTGGAATCAAGCTCAAGAACCACAATGAAGGGATTTTATGGAGAATAAACCTGTAATATCACCTTCATAATGGAAAATGGACATAGGGTTATAATATTCTTCATTTTCTAATATTATAGGCCCGTGTGCTAGTGCAACTCACTGTTCCCAGTCCACATGATCCAAGACATATTTGCAATTTATCATTCTTCTAATGTATGAAAAGATGCCACTCTTTTATTCGTTATGATCGACTTTCTTTTTTCAGGTTGATGATGATAAAATGCCCGCACTTTTATCTAATCTGACCGACATTCTTTTATAAGGTTGATGATGATAAAAGGGTGTGGTTTTGTGTAAGGCTGGGGCCCTAAATAATGAAAGTAAGGCACTTTCAATTAGTGTCAAAAGATGCCATTTCAGTATCGAAATATTTACGATGGTTTGAAAATTTAATTTATTTTAATATCTAATTATAAATTTCAAAGCCTAAAAAATAATGCAGATTAAGTAGATTTATAAACATTTGAAAATTGATGATCTAGATAATGCATTATAAGATGCGTTATTTCTAAGATTTGAAGTCCATTTTTTTTTGTCTATGTATCTCAAGGTCAAATGATAAGATATTAGTGTTTTTTCGGCATCAGGATAACTTCTTCTACTGAATTTTTGAGGTGCGCATTAGTTTGATTGTTTATGGCCTAAACCTTATATAAATTTTTTCCGATGTTAAATAAATAGTGTATGTATCTTAGGTGGTGAAAGTCTAGAGGATAGAATCTCGGGGTGGCTTTCGAAAGTTCAGCATTACCATATATTTTATATTTTAAATAATGTAATATGAATAGTTATGAATGTTTTATTAATTTCTAATATTATATAAGATTTAATATAATATAATATAATAATAAAGCATCTCTTTAATTCAAAATTATTATAATTTATTAATAAAATAATATAAAAATTGATTTTGTCAAGGGTCGAATGCCGACTTTACCCTATACACTGTACCTTGGTCCCTAAACAAACAGGGGAATGCTATATATACCGGGAATTTCTCGATTGTCAAAGGCGGCCCGTGAGCGTTAAGGATTGCAACCAAAATCCCATATCAAATACAATCCCATATCAAATACAACCAAAATCCGTATTATTTTTTATTTTTTGACTATTGATATCTATTTTATTGATGAAACACTCCCAGAAATGGGATTACATCATCAGAAACTATAAATGAGGTCAGCGAAGCTCCACCTTTGGCCAGAGAATCAGCCAAAGTATTTATACACATGAATAAAATAAATAGTTATAAATTTCACTATGTCAAGGGTATGCAGCCAAACTTTTTTAAACTTTCAAGGAACTCTTTGCTCTTTATTACACCACCTAATAACATTCATCGATTCACTTTCAATCATGCAACAATTACCCAAACTCCTATTAATGAAGATCTTCAATCCATATAAAAGAACAAACATTTCAGCATGATTGACAGTGGCTACACCTATGGGGCCCAACATAGGTAAAAATAACATCCCCAATCCAATTATGAAGAACTACACCAATTCCCTCCACTCCTAGATTTACTAAAGAAGTTTGTGTCTCCTCTGAACAAGTGGAATTCAAATACTTCTTAATCTACTCCTGAAAACACCCATAGAAAACAAATTATGGAGATTAATTATCACATCCACCTTTGAAATGCACCATACCTCCTTTGTAATAGACAGCCAACACCATATGGAATTTTTAATATTATTGAGAACTCTTTCAAAAGATAGACAATCCCCATAGCAAACTCTCATATTCCTTTCCTTCCACACTTCCTACATGACTACACCTCTTACCAAACCACACTACCAATCTTCGGGAGATGTGGAAAAGAATAACGACAGAGACCTACTTACCCCCAACTGCCTAAAGAACGGACACCAAATCCTTGTGGCACATAGATAATGTAAGAATAAATGTACCCCAGATTCACCATCTGCCTTAAACAATAGATAAATGTTAGGTACAATCTTGCCCCTTCTAATCAAATTATCAACATAAGGATCTTATCCTGAGTAGCAAGCCACAAAAAAACTTGAACTTTATGAGGTATCGGCCACTTCCAGATTTTAGCCACATGTGGCAACGTCCAGCGCCATCGGTCATTAAAGAGTATCCTATAGCAAGATTTAACCGAAAAAATTCCATCAATTTCCAGCTCCTATACAATCTCATCTACCAATCTTTGTAGGATATATACTTCATTCAAAGCTTGCAGCAACATGCTTAATTGAGAAAAAACGTATCATTTATCATGCTGCATGGAAAATTCGCATTCCACGTAACCTCATTTCCTCTTACCTTAAAATATCAGCCACCTTAGCGTTTGGATTAGTCAAAGATCTCCAGAAAAACATATTTTAACGGTATCTCTCCAAGTCATTTATGAAATGTGATCACTACCGCCAACAGAATATCTCAAATACCCTGCAATTAAAGGCTTGCAGTTAAAAATGTTTCCCTAGAAAATCGATATAGTATTTCCTCTGCCACTAGTAATCCATGTTCCCTGCCTATCGAAGCCATGTTTAGCATAATGAACTCGATATTACAACTAGTCCTTAAAATTAAAACTGTGCCTGAAACCATTTACAAAGAAGGGTGATTAATAAATTTAATTTTTCTAATCCTCAAGCTTCTTTCACTTTTCGGAGTACATACTATATCTCACTTCAAAAGATGGTAATTCCTAGCATCCCCATAAGAATCCCATAAGAAATTCGGCATCATGCACTCAATTTTTTTAGCTATTGAAGTAGGCATATGAACAATGGACATCCGATAGATAGGGAGGTTTGCCAAACATGACGTAAAAAGAGTAACTCTCCCTCTCAAAGATAAAAATTTGGGCTTCCACCAATCCAATTGGACTTGAACTCTTTCTACCACTTTATCATTTATTATTCTTCCACATTGTTGAAACTCGTGTTGTGAAAACCAGACTGGACTGGCTAGTTTGATTGGTGAACCTTGCATTTTGGGTCCGGTTCAGTCAATGAGCGGAGGCACTTGAATCTGTGGTGAATTGGTGTCAGCTCGTCCAAGGACTAGAATAGTCAGTCCACTGGTTCACTTATGAACCGGCCGATACAAATTTAGGAGCAGAAAAACATATCTTTTTACCACCAATATATATTTTTTGTTTTATTTTTCATAAGAAGAAAACGGTCTAAGCGAGTTTTTTCATCCTGTTAAATATATGTAAGGGCAAAACAATAAGATAGAGAAGTTTCTATAAAAAGGAGAATTTAAGAAAGAGAGAGAGAGAGGATGTTCATTCAATACTTTATTTCTCTTGCTCGACTCTCGAGACTCAGTAGTCTTCCGGTGAGATTCTGATAAGCTTCAATTTTTTTTGAATTTTATATTTATTATTTTACATAGACCTAATACAACACCGATTAGGAGGTATAATTTGGTTAATATAGAAGGTTCTAAAAGGACACGGAAAAGGCAAGAAGTGTCATGTATAGAAGTACTGAGAAGCCTATGAAAGTTACATCAAAATAAAGTCCATTGCTCCTACAAGGAAAGAGTTAATATAAGGTTGAGACTTTAAATTGTAGAATTAAGGTGCACTTCAAAACTCTATCCGAAAAGGCTATTTTGACATTAAAAAAGCCATCCAATTAATCATCTCAACATTGAGATGCATGGATATGGAGAAAAAAAAAAGCTTTTAAGTCCCAAAAATATTATGTCTTACAACACATTATATTGACTATCCATTTTCAAGATGTCATGCGTTCATAGATCTGCTTGATTCGAACCATTTTTTAAGTTTAAAATTTTATAATTAGAAATAAAAGTATATTCCTAACCATCTTAAAAATATTTGACATCGAAATTGCATCTCATGACAAAGTTTGAAGGTGCAGCTTACTTTGATTTTTTTAAGGTTGCAGCCTTATGCAAACCTCACCCTACATACAATTCAAATGGGAACAATTTATTGACTTCATCTATTTACTTTGAAGTTGCTTTTTTCTAAGTTAGGGAGAACTGAAAAGACCTCTCTATGGTCTTTATTTATTTAGAGAAGGGTGTGGTTTTTGTATAAGGTGTCAACCTTAAACAATCTAAGTAAGAAGCAACTCCAAAGCTCGTCTAAAAATATAATTTTGGGTTCAAAAAGTTTAATGATGAAATGAAATTTAGAAATAAAAAAATGGTATAGATTGAGCACTTTAGAAACAGATGGAATCTTGAGAATAGACAATGTAGATAATGTATTACAAGATATACCACTTTTGGATATTCAAAATCTCATTTTTTCATATATATTCATTTTGAGGTCAAGATGATCAATTAGAGGTCTTTCAGAATCAGAACAACTTTTTTTTTATGGATTTTTGAGGCATGCATCTTTCTACAGTATAAGGTTGCAACCTTATATAGATTTTTTCTTTTAGAGAAAACATACAATGGGATATCTAGAGAGATAATTTGGTGGATGCCAAGAAAAGAAAGGAGTCTCACAAGGATATATTGGCATGGTTAAGGATATGTGTAGGCACCCACTCCAAGTTTAATTTTATCTCTAAATTCTAAATCGCTGGAGCACACTATTCTATAATCCACACTCAAACTATAGCTCAGCCCAGAATATTTTCTGAATATACTCTATTCTCTAATATCTCATTTAGGAAATTGAATAATCCCAAAATCCCAAATTTAGGAAACCCCAATATTCATAAAAATTTCCTAAAATTCTCTGGATCCTTAATATTTCATTTTTAGAAGCCAAACAATCCCATATTTCGAGAGAGGCAGGTCAATAGGCGCAGAATCCCTAAATAAGAAAACAGTTGTTTAGATTAGGCAGTTTCTATAATATGAAAAGATGAAGTACTAGATAAAAAACAAGATTTCTATATTAGGCAGTTTCTATAACATGAAAGGAAAGGAAGAAGTAGATATTGTGACCCCTCTAGAAACCTCCAAATTTGATCAAACCACCATCATTACTCTGTTCGACGTTCTGATCATAACTGTCAAGGATCCGAACCGAGTTCTTTTTTGCACCACAAACTACAGTGTGTAAGGGAGAGGCCCATGTTGGAAAATGTAGCGAAAATTACATGGCACCTCCGTATTCATCTGAACCACCGCCTTCTTATTTTAGGGTGTATTTTACCTATATAAGTCAAATTTCAAGTCATTCCCGTAAGGAGAGACCCAAACACAAATCCTAATTCCTAATTATACAAACATTGCAGCTCCCAAACCCTATGCCTTGGCGTCCAAACACTAGTTATAGGACCTTGCTCCAGCAGCCAATTTCAAAGATTAAAATCAACCTATTTCAGTTAACAAAAGTCGGCATCCTTGTTTCCCCAGGGCATTTCATTCAATCGAATCTGTACTTTTGACTACTCTATTTTATTTAATTCATCTTTATTCCTGTTTTCCTACTTTTCTTTAGTAGATCTCTAATTTTTATTTCTTTTCTTTGTGCTTATTTCGTATTTCACATCACCAAAGCTAGCTTTGCCGTAGATACTTAAAGAATAAGTCCTTTGAGATTGATTTCTTTATATATCTAAATTTGATGGGACCTATCTTTTTCTACTTCTTTATATAACTAAATTTACACGTGATCTGGCTAAGATCACGTGTAGACAATATGTACGAGAGAGTGCTAACTAACATAATGACAATTAGTAGAGAGACATGTGGATTTTCAATAACCGTAGGCCTACATCATAGGTAAATGTTGTGTTATCTCTTCTTCTCTCTCCATTCTCTCCCCTCTCCCTCTCTCTCTCTTTCTCAGAGAGAAAAACCCCAAGAACAATAGTGCACTAAATCAATCTCTCTACCAAAACGATTTCCAATATTATTTCAAGGATTCTAAAGCCACTAACTTCTCTCGAGTCCATTGCAAAATTGATCGATATATAAAACCCATTTTCAAATTCTACCCAAAAGCCCACCTTTTACCCCTAAAAGCCGATAACGAGAAAACCCAACTCCAAATCTATCCCCAAATAAGTCAATCTCTATCAAAATATGAATAATAAATTTGGGTTACATCCAATCAATAAGGCTTTGGTTTGAACCACGTAAATGTCGTGTTCTCTTCTTCCATTCTCCATTCAATGTCTGTGCATATATGCTCCCACAAATTCTAACAAAGGTAAGGAATGATAGAGTTTATAATAAATAAATTCGATGGAACTTAGGAGTAGTACCAATAAGCAATAGAATGAGGGAAAATAGATTTAAGCGGTCTTGTCATTTGCAACGTCAACCTAGAACAACAACACTGGTTAAGATAGATGATTTGGTTCAAGCAAGAAGCTTTTAAATAACAAGGAAAATCCCTAAAAAAACATTCATGAAAATAGCGAGAAAATATATGGTGATTTATAATCTGACTGAGGTATAGGTTTTGATAAAGCATAACTATAGCCGATCTTAAATAGTGGGAATAAAACTCTGATGATGCTGCTAAAAAGTTCACTAACATCTCATAAAATTTTGCTGGAAAAAATAACACCCACCATTGGATTGATAGGGACGATGGCCCGCACAGACTAGACGACACCCATATATCAATCGAACGGCAAGCAATGTTTTGAGGAGGAGAGGTTCCCACTCATATAGCATACGCCAGAGCAACGGTGAACAAGCGATCAATGTGATCAAAGTGTATACTCATATATACTTCAGCCACCCATATTTTAAGCAAACTATCCAATAAAAGGTGAGGTTTGCATAAGGTGACAACCTTAAACAATCACGGTAAGATGTACCTCAAGATCTTGTTAGAAGAAGACTTCTCGGTACCGAAACTCTCATCATGACCTAAGCATCTATTTTTCACCTCTATTATGAAATTGAAAGCCCTAAAAATGGTGTAGATTTAGTAGATTTATAAACACTTGAAAATTTTAAAAATCGACAGTCAAGATAATATGTTACAAACTGAACTATTTTTAAGACTTAAAATTCATTTTTTCTTTCATATGGTCAATTGGAAAATTTTCTAGTGACTAAACAACATTCATTGATGGGTTATTGAAGTGCACTTTCTTCTACCTCTAAAGTTGACACCTTATATAAACTTTTTCCATGGAATAAAAACATTTGTTTTTACGTACAAGATCAAATTTATTTATTTCTAATAGAGGTAAAAGCATTTGTTTTAAGTACAAAATCAAAATTATCTACTGCTAGTAGAGGTAGAACCAAGGACGCACGTGATTGGTGAGCTATTGAGTTCAAAGTCCAAAATTTTTATTTTTTTTAACTGTAACAATTTTTTTTTAGCAAACTATACAATAAAAGCGTTTGTTTTACTACAATGTCAAAATCATCTAATCCTAGTAGAGGTAAATAGTTAATTGTATTATAATATACAATCCCTCGATTAATGTGCATGGCAATTTTAATTCTGCCATGTAGACGGGGTGTCAATACTAGCAAAGAGTACTAAAACACAACGCCAAGCTTTGAAAAATACGACCAACCATTTTCTGAAAAACCATACCAATCCACAACATCATAACTTTTATTAGCTCCTTCAAATTTCCAAAAAGAACATATATAATCAAATGTTTATATATGGCAATTAAGAAAGGACTCGGTTTTTGTGAAATAAGCCAACGTACCAAAACATGTGCGCCCTCTTATACATCTTAGAGGGGAGAAGGATGTCGAAGGAAAAATTACATACATATTCGTTATAGTTTATGTTATTACAGTTTTACCGAATAGTTTTAGTTATTACCATCGAGTCTATTTTTTTCATATCAAAACGAATTTTTTTAAAAAAAACGATTTTACCCTTTTCAGTTGTTGAACAACCGAATTCAAAATATTTTCGATTGTTCAACAACTGAAAATACACCAATTTCGGTTCTTGAATAACCGAAAATTTTAAATTTTCGATTGTTGAAAAACTGAATTTAAAATTTTCAATTCTTAAACCAAAATTTTTTTTCTTATGGATCAATGTATCCTCTCTCTACATTACATAGGTAAAAATGATTTTTTTTTTAACTCTCTCGCCTTCACCCAGCATCGTTTTTTTTGGGTAAATTCATAATCCCTTAGATTTTCCCTAAATTTAAGAGCTCAAACTAATTGTTCTCCCTAATTTAACTATGACTCCAAAGAAATAGAAAGAGAATAGGCCACATGATTTCTCCTAATCTTTTAATCTCATTCACTAAGATTTCTCCTAAATTTAGAAGCTTTGTTCCCCTTTGATTTTATCAGATAACTATAACTTCGGAGAAAGAGAGAAAATTCACCACAAGCGAGAATATTTTTCAGTTCTTGAAGAACTGAAAAATTTTAAAGTTTTGATTCTTCAGCAACCTAAAATTTTTTATTCTTGAATAACCGAAAATACTTTGAATTTGAAAAAAAATAAAATCATCTTTTCTTAAAATCTCCGTCTTGACATGATAAAAAATGTATACCGTGGTAATAACGAAAACTATTCGATAGATTCGTAATAACAAAAACTATAACGGATATGTATGTAATTTTTCCAAAAAAAATAAATACCCCCCCATAAAGATTAAAATGGATGGTGAAAAAAGAGGACATAAAAAACCTACCATTTTTATTTCTCAAAAAATAAATTCTGTATTCATTATCATCATCATAGTTGAGATGAACAAACCCCCAAGTATTGATGGATTTTGAATGGGGACCGTACATCAACACATGAGTCGGCCAACTCACCATAACACTTTTCCATAAGAAAAATGTCTTTCATATATTCAAGAAAAAATAAAAAAACAAGTAAAAACCACAAAGAAACAAGCATTCAGAGGAATTCCCAGGATTTTTCCTGAAAATTTCCTGATCAAACCAAAATTCTGAAAACATCCTGCAACACCTCACACAAATTTCCCATCAAGATTCACCGACATAAATCACTTTGTTGGCAGATACTGACGGCAAGAGAAAAACCCAAGGATTCACCGAAACAAATACGAAAGTTTCTACATTTCTGACCTACCCACATAACCTCATCCACAGAAGAAACACATCCGCAGTAAGCTCTAAATACCCTAACAAAGATAAGCCCGTAGCATAAGTGATGGAAAAATACAAAGCCCTTAAAACTCCCTAAATTTTCTCCTTTAGTATTATCATCATCCTTCTCTTTCATATTTCTCTTTCTGCCCACTCCTTCAAACCTCTCCGAAAAACTAGAGGATTAAGGTGGATAATGAGATGCTTAGATAGCTAATACTCGAGCTTAGGATGTTGATCCATGTGAATGTGGAGGAAGGCCTGGACCCATGCCAACATTCGGACCGAGAGCCGCACCTGGTGCTCGAGCATCCATCATAGGTGCTCCAGCCTGCACAGAACACCCCCCAGGCCCACATTATCAGATAAATTTAACCACTGCAAGAAAACAAGAGAGGACAAAGAAACTAGGAATGGAAATAAGATCTCAATTTAGATCTATACATCTTGAAAAGTGAAGTGTACCACATAATCTATTGGCATACGGAACATGGCAATCTTACACAGTATCCAAATTCTTTTCTTGAAGATGAACTGTGGAGATTCACCGCATCTTACTGATGCCCCAGTGGGCCCCACTACAGTTGATCTCCATTGTTGCCATCAGGGACATGAGAGTGGATGTCCCTTGGGATACCATATACCATAATTCACTGGATTATGGGCACTTTCCTATATAGAAATGCCACAGAATCAGGGAACCACATAGGCCCCTCAGTCATGAAGTAAGAATTGTTCAGTCTTCAGTATTTTTGTTCTCTCTATGTACTAGAAAAAACTAGTGCTTCAAGATTGAATAGAGACCCTTCAATTTTTGAAGGGCTAGATCTGAGTGCCACAAAACTCAAAATTCGAATTTTTTCTTTTAGAAGTAATCATCTAGTGATTCTTGTATGGTTCCCAAAATTTTAGACTAAAAAATCTTCCTAAATAGGTGTTTCGAGCAAGGGAGTGGATGTGCAGTACTCTTGCAAGACATATGTGCTCTAAACTGAAACCAATTTATTAGTTCATTAGTTGAAGAAACTAGTTGGTGGGCAAAGGCAGAAAGTTGACGATGTTACATTCTGATAACTAATTTATTAAAAGACAAGAATGTGCGCATGGAAAACTATAAAACAGAGGTACATTGAAAACAAAATCAGCTACAAAGAATATCTATATGTAGGATTGCTTTGTTATAAGAAGCTTTTACATTTTTCCCTTACGTCTCACAAGAGAAAATATAAAATGTCAAAACCTACAGATTAATATGATTTAGCAAATCATCAATCATGACCGGACCAGTCACTTAATCGAGATCCAAACAGTTGGACTGGCCAGTTCACCTGTCAAAGCAGTCTGGAAATCATAAATAGAATTCTATGAAGAATACATAAACTTGTCCAGACCAGTCTGAACCGGCAAAGAACAGGCTGGTTCAAACAGGCCAACTAGTTTATCTGGTTGGCTCAGACCGGTTTTTGACCCGTTTTTACCAATAGGAGGTTCAGTGATCAAACCAGACTGATTCCAGGCCTAGTCCCTGCTCCAACAGGCCAGACTGTCCAGTTGGGGTAATTAATGAAAAAGGTGTGGTTTGACTATGCATAAGAATGATTGCAAACAAAAGAAGCCTGTTTCGATCATTTTATGACGAAACTGGAAGCAGAGGCAAAAAGGACAGAACTGGCCTCTCTTCCCCCCCCTCCCCTTCTTCCCAAAAAGATAAATGAACAAGTAAATAAAAATCACGAGCATACCTGGTAAGCATTGAGGCCCGGAATTGGCGCAAGTTGTCCAACTGGTGGCCGATTAAACACACCCCCCATAGCATATGTTGCGGCTCCACTTGTACTTGGGCCTTGCAGACCCGTCACTCCATTTGCAAACCCACCCATCATAGGTTGAACATTACCACTTGAGACACTCCCACTATGCATCACATTCATGGGCGGCTGGCCTTGCATGGCATACATCGGTTGATAATGAGGCGAGCCCAAAACTGGTGTCTGAGGCAAAGGAGCACCTGGTCTTTGTAGTATAGAGTCAGAAGGCAATGCAGTGACAGGTAAGGGATTTGGCATTGAGCCCATGGGAAAGGACGAAGTGAGAGGTGGCATTGATGAGAGAAGAGGGGGCATAGGCAATGAAGATGATGAGAGCAAAGGGGGCAAACCAGGTGGGAGAGGGGGTCGGGGAATATGCGGATGTTGAGGCATGGACAACTGGGAAGGATGTGGCACTGGCGGCAAAGGAGGGGTTAGGGGGAGAGAGATCATTTGGGGAGCTCCAACTTGCTGCGGTATTTGGTGGTATTGTGTGGATGCCAAGAGAGAAGGATGGGGTGCTGAAGGGAGAGGAGGTTGACCCATAGACATTGGAACTTGGAGAAGTGGCCTTTGTTCTCCTTGTTCCGATGAATCCAGAGTAGGAATAGATAGAGGCATTGCTACCCCAACACCTGGTATGGTTCCTTCATTGCGTGTCAATCCAGGTGGGAAAGCTCCAGGAGTGGGTGGGGCTTCTGGTAGTGGGAAATTGCTTGATGGGCGGCCCACGAAAGCAGCAGCATCAACGGGACCTGTAGAGGAAGAAATGAACCAGAATTATTCTCTCATTTTGGAACTTAGAAATAAACCAAACATGAAACCATGGAAGACTGGAAACAGAATAAATACATCTTTTTCTCTGCCGGTTAAAATTTCAACGGAAAACATCAGGACAATATCCACATGAAAGCATAATGTGATCCATCATGAGACCAGGACAGAACAGGGACCTCTTATAATTTCGAGTCTTCTACCTGGTCTTGGTTACAAAAAAAGAAAAAAAAATGTTGTTGTTTTGTTGAACAATCATAAAGGATGTCTCTGTTTTGTTTTTATCATTATTACACCCAGGAAATCTTGGTTGTGAGGTAATAAGCCCATACCTTGATTGTAGCCAGCAATATGTTTCTCACGAGAAGTATCTCCTGGTCGGTTTCTACACCAAAACCTTGTTGTGTGGTCATTGCTGCCACTGCATTATATCAAATGACATGCTAATTAATTTGTCATTACAGAAGAGAGCTTCATGCAATGATAGTTAAAGCTTCTTGCCACAGGAAATTGACAATTAACCATTAAGTACATCAGAGGGGGAAATGAGTAATGCTCAGTAATTAATAAATATGGTTCCACACGGGCTAGCTTGAATTAACCGACAAGGTCACCAGACTCACTAAGATATTAAAGATTACTCATAAATACAGCCATTAAAAAGCTATTTTTTATTAACTTGGACCCATGTTGTGGAGCCCGTCACTCTGATCACCTCTGCCTAGAGCCTGTTCTAAGCTATTAGAGATTTCTTTTGAAATATATAGTTTTTACATTTCAAAACATGTGCAAGATTCCCATCAGACCAATAAATTGTTCAAATTTTTTATGTTCTCCTGAGCAGAAAGGAATTCCATGTTGGTTGAAGTATAAAGAAGCAGATTTAACAGGGCAAATAATCACTATTCGTGTCAGATTGGCTTGGTGAGAATATATGGCGATCAGAGGAAGCTAAGTTGTTTTCCATCAGAGACACATTACTGATTATAATTGTGGAAAATATCAGAAGTCCTATAGCGAAAGAAATTAAAGACGGTGAAGCACATTTTGCTTAATCATCCAGAACAAGATCAGTGATCACCTGCAAAGGATATAGCCAATAGGATGCCAGGCAAGGTCCCACACACTGTTTTCATGGGCGCTATTCACTTCAGCCTGAGGTATTTCATGCCTACATCAAATACAAAGACCAATAAATGTGCAGAGTTAACAATTAAGACAGTTGCTTGCAATTACACAAGATTATATAGAAACAAATTAGAACCATAAATTGTAACTTACAAAAAACAAAATGGCATTATTCGTAATGTGATGCAGGAAAAAACTATTCTTCTTTTAAATTTTTGTTTAATTTCCAATGATGTATACTTTCCAGCGCCCAGCACCTAGGCGGGCGCCCAGAACCTCGAGCGCCCCGTAGTTTTAAAAAAAAGAGAAACGCTTTACGTCCCTAGGCACCTGCCTAGGTACATATGCCTTGGGCGCTTGCTTGGGCTCCCGCCCGGGCACATCCGCCCGTGTAGGGCCCCCTAGGTCTAGGAAGGCATATTTTTCGTCCAGGCCGCCTAGGCGGGGGTTCCTAGATGCCAGGCGGACCGCTTTTTAAAACATTGACCTTAATTTTAGTTTTAGGGCACATTTCAGGGTTTTAAAGTGTTTTTAGGGATTCTAGGGTTGTTTTTATATTTTTAAGATTTTATGAGTTGTTTAGAAAAGTAGTTAGAATGCTTATGGAATATTTTGTTTTATAAGGTGTAGAAATGTTTCACGAATTTTTGTTTTAAGTTAGGACTATTTAGTCAATCTTTTTTTGGTAAAGGGCATTGTTGACTTTGTACTCCATTTTAGATACAGAAAGATATGCCTAGACATCTAGATCACGTGACTTTGAAAAGAGGAAAAAGGAAATGGAAGCTTTTGCTCCCTAGTTAATGTTTTGGGAGGAAACGCTGGAACCCTTCAATTGGTGCTTGTGCTTCGCTTGGAATTGTTTAATTTTCTGTTTTCTTCATAAATTTCTATATCAATTGGTGTCATACCATGGGATTCTTGAGTAGCAAGAGTGGAAATCTTTAGTCAAGTCTAAGGTTTGCTCAATTTAGGCCAGGGTTTGCAGATTTCAGCCCAGGGTTTACTAATTTCAGCCTAGATTTGTCATTTCGGTGAAGCTATGACAACAAGATGGGGCTGTGGAAGGGGAACTCTTGTAGACCTACCCCGAGATGCCAAAGAAGAAGAGGCAGGTTCAGCAGCTTTCACATCGTGAGCATCAATCACGAGCAAGACAGTGACCTTTTTGCAAAAGAAAATGTAGAGCATATCCCTTTTTACCGTTGTGCTCTAAGTGAGGAGTTAAATAAAGAGGAAAGTGATAGAAGACCTAGACATGGGGGACATCTCTCTATGATTTTTTATTTGAAGGTGGACATTCATGAATTTAACGCATGTTGTACCAAAATCAACAGGTTGGGATTTGGGTTCTCCACCAATCTTCGACACATGCTCAGTTGAAGAACAAGATCTTGTAGGAAATCTGATCTATGATGATAAACAAGATTTCATGGTCGAACCGATCTTTGACGAAGAAAATAATGAAGGGTCCAAGGAGAATCAATAGATGAAGTTGTTGGTTAGACCATCAAATCTAGTGTTCATCTCAAACATGCACCTGTAGTATGCTCTAGGTCTGAACTTAGGCAATGTCAACAAGTTTATGTTGCTGTACAAACCCTATCGACACAATCTGACCCTTTCCTCGAGGTATTCTCAAAAGGGTTTATGTGTTTGTCTATTGATTTCAAAGCTCTAGTCTCAATGCATGATCATTGCGTTTTGATTGGGCCAATAACCTAGAAGTCCAACGATTAAAAGTATAATGTTTGGGTTAAAGAAGGTTGTAGGGCTAACACAAAATTCATCTTAGCCTATTTCAAAACTCGAGGATGAGTTTTCTCCAACCATGGGAGTCTGATGCAGAATGAAATTATTCTTTAATTTCCAAGGTTTTAATTTTAGGATTATTTTTAAGGTTTTTAAGTTTCTTTAGGGTTCATACGTTTCTTTTCTATATTTTTTGGACTTTAAGAGTTTTTTTAGAAAAGTAGTTAGAATACTTACGGACTATTTTGGATTATCAAAGGTAGAAATGCTACGACAAATTTTGTTTTAAGTTGGGACTATTTATTCAATTTTATTTTGGTGAAGAGCATTATGGAATTTTGTACACCATTTAAAATGTGAAAAGTGGTGTGTGGAGGTTTAGGGACCTATTCACATGACATTGAAAAGTAGGAAAAAGGGAAATGAAATCTTTGGTCCCTAGCAATTGGTGCTTATGATTTGTTTTGGAAGTTTTAAAATTTATGTTTCCTTCATCAAATTTCTACATCATGATGTATTAAAAAGTTGAGTGTGGCACTAATAGGCGATAAGATGAGAGAGAGTAGACTTAGGTGGGCTGACCATGTGTGGGGCAGATCCAATACAACACCTGTTAGGAGGTGTGAGTTAGTTCAAGTTGAAGACTCAAAAAAAGAAAGGGGTAGGCCCAAAAAGACATGGTTGGAAGTCGTGAGAAAAGAGATGGGCATTTATGGCCTAACTGAGGGTATGACCCTTAATGAAGCAGAATGGCGGACCAGGATTTGTGTAGCCGACCCCAATTAATTGGGAAAAAACTATGATGAAGATGATGATGATGATAAATGTATTAAAAGTTGAGAATCAGGAATCCACTTGCCTAAATAAGAGGAAAATGAGAAACACACAAGGACCTCGATAAATTTGGAATTAGTTTACTTCTTTCCAAAGCACTTAGCACATATAGGACAGAAGCTTACTGCCAGCAACTTGTATGATTCATTCATTTCAAGTGGCTTCAATTGTAGGGAAAGAGACATTACCCAACAAGCCAGTGAAAGATGGATCCATCGTAACTCCCGCTCACGAAATACTCTTCATGGAATGGATGCCACGCCAAAGCTAGTAAAATAAAATAAGTCAGCATTATCAGATATAATATTAATTTTAAGACTACATTATCAAACATGGTATTCCTATCTTGATACCAACCTCAGATAAGAATGATAAAAAGTGACATGAAATTATTAATATTTCGCCAACCTATTCATTCCTTGATTACATTGAAAATGACCGCAAGTTCATAGAGAAGCCTTGTATTGAAGCATCTAAGAACGACCCTTGATAGTCTAAGGGCAGGAATTGCAATTTTGCCACTTAGATGAGGTCAATGTGGAACTTGTGGTGAATAAAGAATTGAGAGAAACCCAAATGCTATCAATGATGCCTTCAACCTTAGGGTCATAGAAGTTTCTTGCAGTATGTCTTAAGGTACTAAGAAATTCTTATACATCACAAACTTGAAACTGTCGCCTGATTGGGTTAAATAGAGGCCCCATCAAACGAAATAAATAGGTATATATGAAGATTTGGACAGGAGAAACTCTAGACAGGAGTTCAAAGCATGGGCAAACATAATTGGGAAAGAAAAAAGAAGCGAATACTACGCATAGCAATCAACTCAAAAAATATGAGCAGACCACAATTAGCACACAACCAAATTAATTTGTTACTTGTTACAAAGTAAAATTAACGTGTAAGGAAGTAAACAATAAAAAAAGAGTCTACAAGATGGATCATGAGTGCTTAAAATTGCAAAAGTATAATGGCCGTTGGGGATAATTCTATTATGCATAAAATAATGAACTAGAAAAAAAAAACCATAAACAAATTACCAACCAGTTACATCCTTGCGATGTCCACGATAAGATTCAAGCTCCTTCATGGTTCGTATATCATAAAGCTGAAAAATATGAAAAAAGATCTAAATGTATGTAGGACCAAGATAGTAACACCGGGGAATCAGTCGATGGATTATTATACACTGTTAAGAAAAAGAATGTCCGACAAACAATTATGTCTGCATCATCAAGCCTTTGAACAATTATGCATGCATCATGGAGTCTTTGAACAACCATGCATGCATGTACAAGTATATGCAGCATCAACACAATAGCATTTGGTGAACTCAAACAAAAGCAAATCAATATATTATTGCAATATGAGCCTTCAAGAGGACATTCTCAAAAAAAAAGAAAAAGCTCAGACCAAAGATCTGCTGAGGTAACAAAAAGCAAGAGATCCTCCCAGCAGGTAGTCATACTAATAAAATCTAAAGAAAAAGAATGCCCGACAAGCAATTATGTCTGCATCATCAAGCCTTTGAACCAATGTTGTCATATTTGCTTCGTAGTGTTCTTCGGTTTGGTGAGAAAAATGAAGCAATTCGGTGCTTCGGCCGATTCGGGGGAAGAAAAATTAAAATAAATTTTTTAATTATTTTTTAAAAAATAATTTAAATTTTTTAAAAAATTTTAAAGTAAATTTTTTGTTTTTTAAAAAATTTAAATTTAAATTTTTTAAAAAATTTTAAAAATAAAAAGTACATTTACATAGCTATTTCTTTGCTGGCCAAAGAAAACCCGAAGCATATACCCGAAGCAATCCGAATTTGAACGAAGCAGTACGAAACGGTTCGAATCTAACCAAAGTGACAACATCAGGCTTTGCTTCTCTTCGGTTTATGCCTAAAATCCGAAGGCTTCAGCCTCTTCGGTCGAAGAGAAGCAAATCGGATAACATTGCTTTGAAAAATTATGCATGCATCAACACAATAGCATTTGCCATTTGGTGAACTCAAACAAAAGCATATCAAAATATCATTGCAATATGATCCTTCATGAGGACATTCTCCAAAAAAAAAAAAAAAAAATCTGCTGAGGTAACAAAAAGCAAGAGATCCTCCCAGCAGGTAGTCATATTAATAAAATCTTCTATACAGCTAAAGAACATTATCACCAAATGAAAGGAAAGCTGAAATAGGATTAAATTGATGCAATTGATACACTGTCTGGAAAGAACATCTATGTCCCCGATGGTCATGTGGATAACCATGACTTGCTAACCTACCACCTCATCATTAGCTAGGCTATAAGCCAAGAAAACTCTCCTACAATCAACCACAAAATCTCCTTCATATCATAAATAATAGTGCTAAACATAATGGGAGTACGGGACACCAGTCATCTCCCATCAAATGACATCGAAAAATCCCCCAAATAAAAAGCAATACTAAGACATACAAAAATGTACGAATGCATGGTCCCTAAGGCCCCAGTCCTTGAGAAAGTAGTGACCCAAAGTGAACTGCCACAACTATAATTTATGGCCACTTTCATCCCTGAACACTCCAAGTTCCCAACCTGACTTCCTCAACTAAAAGAAACATGATGTGTAGAAAACAGGCCGAGCACCAGTTTCAACACAGAAGACCTATTACTGCATCTGTGCCCAACTTAGTACAGCAACACCGAGATGGAAAGCAAACTATAATATAAGATCATTTAGCAATGGTCTCATGCTCATCTAGAACACAAATGTAAGCCCAGAGCTAAAAAAACACATACTAACTCAAAGTAGGTCACAGATAGCCACAGAAATTGCCAGATCTCGGGCAAGTGACCATCAGATTATTTAATATAGCCATATTCAAGATGCAATATCAGTGAACATGAGCAACCTAGAAGAAAATAATGAACTTCAAAGTATTCATAATTAAATATAGGGAGGCATACTAAGAAGATGCTGACCTTAATGATCTGATCTTTTGAAGAAGTGAGCACCCAATTACCATTTTGATTCCATTTAACACAAAGTACCCAATTCTTGTGACCATGTCTGCACATTGATAAATACCAAACTATATATATTAAATGTCCATGGAAGTGAATCAAAATTTTTTTAATGGAAGTAAATGTGTTCCAACTCACAATGAACAAAGTTCTTTCCCCGATTTTGCATCCCAAAGTTTTACAAGGCTTTCCTTGCCACCTATGACCATGCGGGTACATAGAACATCATAGCATTAAGTATTGTACATCAATAAAAACATAGTACAGGATATGTAGCATAATTCTAACATCCGAACCTGAAACAAGCAGAGATTTTGTAGGGTGCCAGTCAACACTCTTTACATCCCATAAGTGACCTGTCTGAGTTTAAACACATAAGAACTCTCAGGTTACCCCTTGTTTGATATAATTGCATGTATGATCCTTGAACATGATAAAACTAATACAATGCACTATCTAAGGCATGCATCTTTCAGTTCAAAGCAACAGGTCCAGTTATCACAGAACTTCATAGCAAGGGTGTAAATTTCAGAAGAACATTTGGAACAAGGAGAAAGATATGATGGCTTGAGGAGAACAAACCAAATAAGGAAAAACAGAAAGAAAGGAAAACGAGCAGCAAACAAGAAAAGGAGAAAATGCATAGCCTTACTGCATTAGAAAAAACAAATACTGCAATGGAAAAAATAAGAAACAAATATGAAGCCAGAAAATGATTTAATGATCTAATAGGAAGTAATAAACACCAGCTCATCAAAGTTCTAACAAGAGAAAATTACAAATAACACTTTTAGTGCATGCATAATAGATCTAATATCAAGTACAATTGAAAATTCAGGTATAGAGTGTACCAAGTCCTGTGGGGGTAACCCTAAGCATATTCAAGTAGGTCTTCCCTGTTATTTCATTTTAATTTTCAGTCATATTTCCATATTTACTGTGATTTTTCCAGGAACATTATTTGTATTTAAATTGATAGTAAAAGTTTCATTTTTATTCCTGGATTGTGTTTATTTACTTTGGCAATAAAATGAAAGGTCCTAGTTATTTAGGATTTTAATTTTCATTATAGAAGTATTTTTTGGCACTTGTAAGTGGAATTCAGATTCAATAATAAAGAAAAGAAGCAAAATTTCTAAACCTATAGTCTTGAATTCCACATAGACACACCTTTCAAGTACATCCAGTGCCTCCATTGTATTATACATTACGCCATTGTTAAGGGTTGAGCATGAGGCATTCAACTACATGGGAGTAGGGCAGAGAATTTACCCGGTTCGGATCCGAAACCCGAATTTGGGATCCTATTAAGAACCGGTATAGATCCAAGATTGGGATCCGAAATTCGGATCCGGATCTAAATTTTGGATCCCAATTACTATCCAGATTAAATCCGGGTATAGGTGGATCAGATCCGGATCCAAACCGGTTATTAAAATAGTATATGCCATTATATATATATATATATATATATATATATATATATATATATATATATACTACTATATATATTATTATTATATATAGTACTACGTTCTATCGCGCCACCGTCCTACTATATACTAGTAAGTAAGTACGGTACGGTAGTACGGTA